TGGTCCCAGCTACTTGGGAGGCTGAGGCAGGAGACTTGCTTGAGCCCAGGAGTTAGAGGTTGCTATGAGCTGTGATGCCACGGCACTCTACCCAGGGGGACAGCTTGAGGTTCTGTCTCAAAAAAAAGAATTACCTTTGTAGACTTGTAGAACCATGTATCCTTTGGTATCTTAGCTTTTGTTTCCCTTTCATTGCACTTTGCAGAGATTTTCCAAACACTTTTGCAATTAGGTTGTAATTTTTTTACTTAAAGATTTTAAATTTAAACACAATTTGTAACTAAATGTAATGATTCCTTTTTCTTTGAAACCCTAAAAACTCATAACCAGTGTATTTATTAGTTTCTATTAATCAATTTTCAATCTTTGGAAATTTTATTTATTTATTTATTTATTTTCTTTTTCTGAGAGTCTCATTTTGTTGCCCTCAGTAGAGTACTGTGGCATCATAGCTCATAGCAACCTCAAACTCCTGGGCTCACGCAATTCTTCTGATTCAGCCTCCCAAGTAGCTGGGACTGCAGGCACCCGCCACAACACCTGGCTATATTTAGAGCTGGGGACAGTCTTGCTCTTGCTCAGGCTGGTCTTGAACTCATGAGCTCAAGCAATCCACCCGCCTCAGCCTCCCAGAGTGTCACTTTTAAAAAATTTTTTAATTATAGCTGGGCACAGTGGCTCATGCCTATAATCCTAGCCCTCCAGGAAGTTGAGGTGGGAGAATCACTCAAGGTCAGGAGGTCAAGACTAGCCTGAGCAAAGCCAGACCCTGTCTCCATTAAAAATAAAAAATTAGTGGGCATTGTGTTAGGCATCTGTAGTCCTAACTACTTGGGAGGCTGAGGCAGGAGGATTGCTTGAGCCCAGGATCTTGAGGTTGCCATGAGCTAGGCTGAGGCCATGGCACTCTAGCCTGGGCAACAGAATAACACTGTCTAAAAAAAATTTAATTGAAAAAAAATTGTATATGTTTATTACATATAATATGCTGTTTTGAAATGTTATGTTATATAATGGCTAACTTAGAGTTAATTAACTTGCTTTTCTTATAATCTACTTTGATTCATTTACTTCTTATATTTACACAGAGGCTTCCTAATTTTCTGCAAGGTTATTCTAAAATCAGTGTTACTTTATCATAATAGAAATGTGAGAAGTGGGTCATTGAGTTAAACTCTCGGGAAACCAGATTAAAAACCATAGTTCATGAAAAATTAGAGAGATGCTAAAGAAGTAAACAGTATAGCTCAAAAAAGGATAATTCAGGGTGACCTCTATACAAATATAAAATAGTTATAGAGATGGATATGTCCAACATAAAATAGTTAATCATACTGAACTGAATTTGAATCAGTATTATAGTGATATGGTGATGTATTTGACAAAAATATGTAACAATTATAAGGTCAACATACTACAGATTATTTTTTGAGCCCAGGAGTTGGAGGTTGAGCTGTGATGCCACGGCACTCTATAGCATCGGCTAGAATCCTGTTGTTTGTGTATCGTGAAAAGCTTGGAATTAAGTTAGCTCTATTACTTACTTATTCACTGTATGATTTTGGACAAGTGACTTTACTTCTCTGCATTACAGTTTCCAGATTGTCAAGTCATTTAGTTGGGATGATTTCTAGTATATAATTCCAGCTGTGAAATTATAAATTATTTAATCTAAATTTGGCTGTTCATTGCAAGAGACAGATAAGTGGTAAAGGAGTCTCAATGTATAGATGACCTCTTTAGCTCCTAATTGGAAAGATAATTTAGGGAACCAGCTTAGAGTATGTGATTTTACAGAAAGCTTTCATGGATCCATAACTCATCTTGGAAATGGGAAAAACTACATCAGAAGTTCTTTTCTTTCACCTTCTCTCTTGTCTTGGAGAACACGTTTACTCATCATCCATTTTTATTGCCCACACATGTACATGTCATGTCCCATGACTCTGAAATAATTAGTTGCATGATATTTAGAAATTATTTTGAACCTCTCAAGAAAGGTGCTATTTTAAAAAGTCATGATTTTAATGACATAAAGTGGGCAAAATTACTAAATTTGAGTTAATAGAGGTTATGATTTTCCTCCATCAATAAATGCTTCAGATTTTAAAAATGGTAATTGCTTACATTAATAATAACATCTGTAATTTACTGAATGGTTCTTACTCTGTTTTAACCTCTTTACACATATTTCTTTTTCTTTTTCTTTTTTTTTTTTTTTAGAGACAGAGTCTCACTTTGACCCCCTTGGTAGAGTGCCATGGTGTCATAGATCACAGCAACTTCAAACTCTTAGGCTAACGCTATTTTCTTGCCGCAGCCTCCCAAGTAGCTGGGACTACAAGGGCCTACCACAATGCCTGGCTATTTTTAGAGATGGGGTTTTGGTCTTGCTCAGGCTGATCTCGAATTCCTGAGCTCAAGCACTCCACTCGTCTTGGCCTCCCAGAGTGCTGGGATTACAGGCATGAGCCACTGTGTCCAGCCACATACATGTTTCATTCGTTCTTCACAGCATCACGGTGTATGAAGCAAGTACTATTATAACCTCCATTTATAGGTAAGGAAATTTCAAGCACAGAGAAATTATCTAACTTTCCAAAGTCTTTGACAGTAAGAATTTGAAATAAATCCAGCAGTCTGACTTTAGAGTTGTCTTTAACTGTGCTGCTTTAACCAACCACATTGTCTCTCCATTATTAAGCATTGCACATTGTAAAATGCCTTCCAATTAGAGATGCAGTAAAGAGTTGACATTTAAAACTAGAAATGTCAGTGTTATTTAACATTTTTTTTTATAATTATTTAGGTAGTTTGAACTCATGGACATACCTTTCATTTATTCTTGGTCAATAAATGTATTTATGTAAAACCTTCTTAAGATAGGGCACTGTTGGATGGCACCTATAGCTCAGTAGGTAGGGCACCAGCCACATGCACTGAGGCTGGCAGGTTCTAACCCGGCCCCAGTGAGCTAAAACAATGACAGCTGCAACAACAACAACTAAAAATAGCTGGGCCTTGTGGTGGGCGCCTGTAGTCCCAGCTACTTGGGATGCTGAGGCAAGA